CGTGAACGTTCGTTGCGCCGTAATGTGAATTTAACCGGAACTTTGCAGACGATCTAATTAAAGAGTAAAGGACCAAAAGTACCGCTCGGCGCTTGTTTTCAGTATTTAGATGGAGATTTGGACGCCAACGAATTGCGTCCATTTATTCGTGCGAGATGTCCAACTTCCGATATACTTGAGACTAACTGCTGCGACTCGCAGATATATCTATGCCATAGTTCCGTAGTAGGTATAAACATGGTCATATTAGCAATAACTTAGCTCTATAGACAGACGCTGATTAATCCGTAAGCACGAGATCGAGAGGCTCTAAACTGAGAGATTGCACGGCACGTATACGGACTTAAAAGCGATACATGTGCCGGGATCTTTATGAGAGGAGTTGCCGCGATAAGGCGACTTCGCCCCGAATGTCGGATAATCGGCACATAAAGCTCGGTTTAATGCTATCTTTAAGGATCGATCGGTTATCCACGTAGAACGGTAATACCATGCTCTATTTCCGAAAGTTCGACCCTTGTTATCAAAGCTCGGAGCATGTACGTACTGGGATATATTTGCTCTGCCTGAAAGGATACCTATAAATCTAAGAGAAAGCCCCAAATGGATGGGACAGTAAAAGGCAGCGTAAGTAATATGAGAGTAAACAATGGATCTGTATAACTCCAAATTGATCATAATGGGAGTAAGAGTAGATAAATGAAATTTTGCGTTAGAACTTCTATGACAGATGGTCTCGCATTTCCAGAGAAAATATCTCTTAAAATTGAATATCAGACCTTAGTTCCTCTACGCTTTGCTGCACTGCCTTACGACAAAGAGTGCATTCGTCGAAAAAATACGAATTGGCAAGGCTTCTTCTTCTTCTTCTTCTTCTTCGGTCGTGAAAATATAAATTAAAGAGCGGTTAGTCACGAAACAAAATGATTCATAGCTCAAGTACGGTTATATTGCAGACTCCTTCATTCGCGAAAAACGAAAATAGGAACTGGCGAGAAATCCTTTTCGGTCAAAATTGCGAAAGTCGAGAACTTTTATATTTGGGTCTGAGTGAAAATTAGAATTTACAAGCACGGACTACTTGGCACGCCACTTGGTTCGATCTTCTATCGCGAGAAGACAAAGAATACTGAAAAAAAGAGCAAACGAATGTTACGCTATATCTATTCTTTCAAATTACTGTCACGCCTTACGACCGGATTGTACAACACGCCGAAATGCATACGCATACAGAATTCTCTGATCCACTTTCTTCCCGAAGTATCGTAAAGCCGCGCATCGTACGCTACGTCTGATACGCGCCTTACTCTATCGGGAACATCGGGATGCTTGAAAGAAGAGAGAAAATGAGGGAAGAAACGTTATCTGCCCCCAGCAACAAAGTTTTCGTGCTTCCAGCGTATTTTTCTGTTTAGGTTATACAACCCGACCTTACCTCAGAGCCGAATGTTTCGCGGAGATTACCTGTCAGAATGCGTATTTTCCACCGGCGAGTAAATTTCTTTTCGGGGTGGGCTACAAAAATATTTCAATGTGGCAGGACGGTCCCCAAAAACTAAGCATATTACTCTTCGTCCTATACCTACATACATCTTTGTCCTTTTAATTCAACACGAAGCTGGATGCTTTATAAAGAACCTTGGATTACGAGAAAAAGGTGATCAAATCTTGAAACTTTTGTATAGTATAATTATTGTTATTTAATATAGTTTCTGTTTGTTATTCTATTCTCACGAAATTCGCTAATATTATGATTTCTCATGTAATTAATGTAGTTGCAAACAAAATGCTAGATCACCTTCTATATTTCTTCTAATACTTTTAGAAATATTTTTTTAATACTAAAAATATTTCTCTTATTGACAAATAACGTCAGTAGCTTGCAGTAGGAAGTATTGTTTTTTTTTACATTAAGCAAACATATACGAGTTTATTGTTCGAATATTTCATTACGTGATAGAAAATGGAGGAAAGAGGAGTAAGAGATAAAACTGCGCAAACTATAATGCTGCCTTGTTCTTATTTGACAAAGAATTGTAACTTGTTTCTAAGTTTTTTCGAGAGTGTCAGTCTCTTGCGACAAGGTAAACCGTGAAGTGATAGAATTACGAGTTGCGTTCTGGTACTCTACGTATTTCTCTTTGACTGCAGTTGCGATATTGCAGCCAAAGTCGGAGTTCAGTTGACTGTATGAGCGAACGAACTATTCTCAATCCGTTATGTTTTCGTTTTAAAGTTCTCTTTCGATTCCGACTTAATAATGTCACATGCATGCGCTTTAGATCTCTATTATGAATAAGATGTGCTAATAGCAAAAACATTTTTCTGGCATATACTTATATTACATATAAATTACATTAAATTTTGAATTTTCGATACTTATGATTACACACATTTATGGATATTATCACTTTAACGTATAATATACGTACGTCATTATCGTAATTTTCGTTAAAAAGTTATAACATTTACATATGGATGACAGTTTGATTTTTGGTTTAACTTGCATTTATAATTAACTCGTACGTAAATAATGCGAAACGATATATGAGACTTTCAATTTCATTCAGATAATCCGAATGAGATACTAATCTAATCTGCTACAGCTATCAGAAAAGTATATACATATTATCTTACATTATCAAATTTCATAAAAGAATTCCACATAAGTTATGTAATGTACACACTTGATAAGCTTGATAATAATCTATTTACGTATGCAATTGACAGCATCATTTGAAATTGTGAACGTAATGTATCCAATTATTTTCTTATTGTTAAATGTATTTTTTTCAAACGGTTAAAACTAGGAATACTTGGCTGATTAAATATTTAACTAAAGTCGACAGTTACGTTTACATATAATATTAAAACTTGGCTATAACGTTATTACTTTTTTTTCTATCTCTAACAGCATATTTATTTAATTATACAATTTCTGAAAGTCCGGAACGTAGCTAGTTCACAAGTGATGCCAAACTGTAACAACGAAGAATATCCAACCACAGACGCGAATCATATTTTCGATTTTACCGGTTTCACGCAGAGGAGTCCAATATGCGGAAATGTGGTTATCTCTTCATGCGACAGAGCCGTTTACCGTTTAATAGAATTCAGCCAATTACATTAAACGAGAAGTATCTAACAAGATTTCGCGAGATTTCATATCGTCTCGTTTCTTTTTCAAAACGCGGTTACTAGACTACTTCACGGTTCTTAGGTGAACACCTCCGTGGTTTTCGAACTTTACTATGCAATCATAGCATAGGAATAGTGGAAAAAAATGGTTAAATCTTTAAAATTTAACACGCTAATCATGAGACTTACGTGAAAGTTCTCTCCTCTTTTTGCAATTTTTGAAAATGTGATTGGAATATTTAAATTGATCGTATGTACATGAACGGTAATAACACCGCCACTGTGGAGTTGGCACCCTATTTTAAAAAATCGAAAATTTTATTGAGAGTTTCGTTTGCATCTGCAGTAGTTCTACAGTTCCTGATAGGTTTTAAAAATAATTTCGTTGATTTGAATAGAAAAAATAATATTTGAAAATATGACATTTCGTGGCATCTCAAGTTGCGAAAAAAGTTGGGAGTGCAAATGGAGCTTTTAATAAAACTTTCAATTTTTTAAAATAATGTTCCAATTTTACAGAGAAAATTACGTTCGCTTTAATATTACATCATGACAAATACGTTCAATTATATCGAATAAAATTTTGAACTTTGAATCCGTTTTTTCGCTAATTGCATATGTAAACATTACGTGATAAGTCATAATAAATTTATATGATAAGATTAGCAATCTATTGATCCACACAAAAGGAGAAAATTATTAATATGTTTAATTAATTGTTTACTATATGATAACTTCAGAACTCTGTTGAATTCAATTAAAATTTAAGCTGAAAGCTTATTGGCTCTCTATTAGCAATAAGTAGTGTTAACCAATAACAATATTACGTAAGTAATAATGTTGACGTAAAATATTACTATTTATAATAAGTGGGAATTTTCTGTGCAGTGGTATTGGTGCACTTTACTGCTATGGTCGCAAATTATCCAAGATATAATGCAACCTTCCACCATGCCATTATTATGCCACAATCTTAATAAATTTTAAGAGCCGAATAGTTTGAAAACCGTATATATTATTTATAACATACAGCAAAATTATTATCCGTAGCTATGCAGCAAAACACGAAAACGTATGCAATTACAAACAATTACTCACAAATTCTGAAGGTCACAATATTTAGCTCCGATAAAGGATGACGACAGACTGTACGTAGCTGTTATGTAATTGTTTTTAAGATATTCTGTTACTGCAATTCTAAGCAAAATTGTACGACTTGTAACATTCGTAACTTCTTTTGCGTAAGATTATTAAGAACTACATAAATACCAATAATATAGGCCAATATATACGAGCACAATCACATTTATTAACATAAGTTTAGGTTTAAAATTTTCATACTTCGCAATGATGTAATAACTATAATTGAAAAACCGATATCAAGGAGAAGAAACACATCTAAATACAAGTAACTCTTCTTAATTTCTTTCAATTTATAGACATGTGCGAAACTTTTTACATATTATTAACAACATTATATTACCGAATTGTAGTGACTTCTGTGCTGATGATGACTAACAATAAGTATAGTCGAAACGTCCGATATTAGACTTAGTGGACTTTTATTATAATTTTAATTGTATTTATAACTCAATAGTTTTTAAGTTATTACATCATTGCGAAGTATGAAAATTTTAAACCTAAACTTATGTTAATAAATGTAATTGTGCTCATATATATTGGCCTATATTATTGGTATTTATATTGTTTCTTTAAATCAAACGAGCTGGTTCAAATATTTTATTATTAAGAACTATTATCGTGTAAACGTCCGAGTATGTAAATAAGACGTCATACGATCTATAGGAGGAGGTACAAACATTAGAAAAATACTTGCTATCTTCAGAATATATAGAAAGGTCAATGCATACGACTGATAATATCCACTTGCTTCTTGTTCAATCGTCTTCGCAATGGTGGACTATTTATTTGTCGGAATCACAATCAGTTTTATATTTGTTACGCATGGCTTTACTAACGACACGTTGTCTTTTCCCGAAAACTTTCTATTTGGCACTTCTACATCTGCTTATCAAATAGAAGGAGGTTGGAATGAAGGCGGTACGTAAACAGATTACATTTAATGTTTAGTATCATATAATTAATTGACGCAATAAGGGACCCTAGCATCTTAGGTACATGAAATTTATAGAATATTGTTCAGGCGTTTTCATCAATTTTATTATTAATATTTGTGTCATACTTAACCTGAAAAAGGTAAGGGCGAGAGTGTTTGGGATCGATGGACACACGAACATCCAGATTTAATACGTGATGGTAGCAATGGAGATGTGGCTTGTGATTCCTACCACAAGTATAAGGAAGATGTACAGTTATTAAAGAACATGGGGGTACGTTCTGCATAAATGTATTGAAAATTTTTAACTATATGGAATGTTAGACGTCAAAGTATAATCTTTTAGGTTGACTTTTACCGGTTCTCTCTTAGTTGGACACGTATTTTACCAACTGGTTACGACAACGTGGTCAATCAAGAGGGACTTGATTATTACAAAAACCTTATCAAGGAATTACTAGATAATGGCATCGAACCATTTGTTACTTTGTATCATTGGGATCACCCAGCAGTGTTCGAAATCATGGGCGGGTGGACTAACGAAATGATGGTAGAATGGATATCGGATTATGCAAGAGTCGTTTTCAAAGAACTCGGCCCCAATGTTAAATATTTTCTGACCATCAATGAACCCGTTGTTATTTGCAATAATTGGTACTCTGAAGGTACAAAAGCACTAGATATTCTTTATGTTTATTTATTATTTAGCGATAAACATATGCTACTTCTTTAACAATGTTGGACACTTTCTAAAACAGAATATTCGTTTAGGAAAGAAATTAGGCTATCCGGCTAAATATTCGTGTATGCATAATATTCTGAAGGCGCATGCTAAGATTTATCACATCTACGACACAGAATTTCGTGAACAGCAGCAAGGCCAAATCAGCATAGTTTTAGATTGCGCAGGCGCATTGCCCAAAAGTCTTAGTGATGCTGCAGCAGTAGACACATTCTTCCAATTTCATTGCGGATGGGTGGCTCATCCCATTTTCTCAACAACTGGTGATTACCCAGCAGTCATGAAAAGCCGCATAGCTGAAAGTAGTAAATTGGATGGTTTTTCGAGATCTATTTTGCCAGAATTTTCGCCAGAATTGGTGCAGTACATTAAGTAAGAAATTTGTAGCAATTATACGCAGCAGTTGTCACAAATTAATTGGAACTACTTAATTGCGGACTTATATTATCTCTGGCTTCTTATTAGACCGTTCGTTTTTTAAGAGGTACATCGGACTTCTTCAGCTTAAATCATTACTCTTCGAAACTTGTGGAAACAGTTCCACGAGTACCAGGACACGCGTGGTACGATTATTTTGGCGTGAAAGCAAGTGTAGATCCATCATGGCCAAAAGGCGCACCGGATTGGCTCAGAGTTAGTTAGCATAAAAGATGCATGTTAATTGCGTGTATCAAACTGTCAATTTTTGCCTACGAGAAACTTTTGTTTGTATAAGACTTGCTAGGAATTTATTAATTAAATCCTAGTAACATGTCAGGCACTATTAAGTCGTGCAGATGGTTTACCTTATTATTATGAATATTTCATTATGTGAAGTATTCATAGTTTTTACCCCACGTTATAAATTGGAAATCAGGATTGAGTATATTTTGGAAAATATACAGATACCGATAATACGGCTGAATCGAACATAACTGGTGAAATTATGATGGATTATAGAAAATTTAGTAATTGACTATTCGTAACTAAACGTTACGAAGTAATATAGTGTTTCACTATGAATTAAATTTGTTGCCAATATCATTTTTCTTGAATATAATATCTTTACATAAGCAATCATAATTTTTTTATCTATGAGTGAAGTATTAGCACTAATAAAGTATTATTTGTATTTAGGCATATACAGAAAGTTGTAAATATTTTAGGTTGTTCCCATTGGATTTCGAGAGCTTCTTAAGAAGATCTCAAATGAGTATGACTACCCATCTATCTTTATTATAGAGAATGGTTTTGGCGATAGAGGTGGTATTTTTGATCATTTAAGAATAACCTACTTACATTCTTATATGAAGGAAATGTTAAGTGCCATTCAAGAAAATGGATGTAAAGTGAAAGGGTACGCTGTGTGGAGTCTGCTAGACAGTTTTGAATGGGACATTGGTTATACGTGAGTTGTTATTTAATATGTAATTACGAACATATTTATAAAGTTTTTTTATGAAAAATTGTTTTCTCTTTTCTCTTCTGACAGTGTAGGGTTCGGTTTGGTAAGCGTTAACTTCACGGACCCCAATCGGACAAGAACCCCAAAACACTCGATGAACTGGTTTAAACATGTCATTGAGACTAAGCAACTTTCTATTGATGAACCTCTAATCCAAGCAAATCATTCAAATGTTTAAATAAACGGTTGTTGAATAATATATAAAACGATTGCTTGGATAAATATTCCGCTATTCGTATGAAAGATTATTGGACTAATCGTTTGTATATTACAGAATATACAGTCGCCTAACTTTGAAAAGTGCCGCCGCTGTTATTAAAATATTGTTGTTGAAATATTATTAAAAAACCATTACATCTCAAGTGTATCTAGATCATGAAAAACGGATTACTGACATGCTAATAAAGATGACTAAATACTCACATAGGACCATTCTGTAGGAAATATAGAATTGTCGAAAGTAGTATTATTTTTTATAATATGCGTATATAATATTCCGATCTACAATCAGCAGTCGGATTGTGGAAAGCAACCATAGCAATCATTACTCGACAAATAAATAGAGTACAAGGTTTCAGAAAGGAGTAATCGGATGCCATTACTCTCGAGAAATATGTTTTATGATGTTTATAGCGAAAACCTTGTCAAAGTAACGTGTACATTTTCAGTCGAATGAAATAATTGATGGGAGGGGGAGAGTCTCTATTAGTTTATTATTTGTATTCCTACAAACTTTCTCAATCTAGTGAATTTTCGTGGAACGTATTTGGAGTGGTTCCTGCGATAAGTAAAATCACACTTGTGTTAAACCAGAAACATTTAACAAGACTTTCAGATATTCCATATCCTCTCATTTCTTTTTTAAAACACATTTGTGACTATCTTTATTCTTATGTGCGCATATCCAGTCAATGTTCGAACTTTACTGTGCAATCACAATTCGCAACATACTCGCAATAAAAATTATTTTAAATCTTACAATTTAAAATGTCAATCGTGAGACGTATATGAATGTTGTAATTTTTGCAACATTTTACCATATGAAGGAAATACTGTTGGCATCTATTTACCGTAACAAGTTTTAGTTTCCGCAATATTAACAAATTGCTTACTATTAAGGTCAGCCTTATCAAGTCCGATATTTGAGTGTATACATGAGACGTTACGCGATGTATAAGAGAATGGAAACATATTAAGAAATTAGTTGCTATAATGGTCAGAAGAATATATGGGAGGTCTGTATGCATGACTAACAATACTTAATTGTCAAGGTATCGGTGCTCAGTCGTTTTTGCAATGGCGAGCTATTCGTTTCTCGGAGTCGCTTTCAGCCTTATTTTTGTTGTCACTCATGGCTTTGCTCACGACACATTATCTTTTCCCAAAAATTTTCTATTTGGCACGGCTTCATCTTCTTATCAAATAGAAGGAGGTTGGAATGAAGACGGTATGTAGAGAGTCTCTATTTAATGTTTAATATATCATTTAATTATTGACATATTAAGAGCTCCTTGCATCTTTCGTATACAGACAAGATAGACGTATAGAATATTTGAGTCATTTTTATCATTTTTATTATTAATTTTTGTGTCATACTTAACCTGAAAAAGGTAAGGGCGAGAGTATTTGGGACCGATGGACACACGAACATCCAGATTTAATACGTGATGGTAGCAATGGAGATGTGGCTTGTGATTCCTACCACAAGTATAAGGAAGATGTACAGTTATTAAAGAACATGGGGGTACGTTCTGCTTAAATGTATTGAAAATTTTTAACTATGTGGAATGTTAGACGTCAAAGTATAATCTTTTAGGTTGACTTTTACCGGTTTTCTCTTAGTTGGACACGTATCTTACCAACTGGTTACGACAACGTGGTCAATCAAGAGGGACTTGATTATTACAAAAACCTTATCAAGGAATTACTAGATAATGGCATCGAACCATTTGTTACTTTGTATCATTGGGATCACCCAGCAGTGTTCGAAATCATGGGCGGGTGGACTAACGAAATGATGGTAGAATGGATATCGGATTATGCAAGAGTCGTTTTCAAAGAACTCGGCCCCAATGTTAAATATTTTCTGACCATCAATGAACCCGTTGGTATTTGCAATAATTGGTACTCTGAAGGTACAAAAGCACTAGATATTCTTTATGTTTATTTATTATTTAGCGACAAACATATGCTACTTTAACAATGTTGGACACTTTCTAAAACAGAATATTCGTTTAGGAAAGAAAGTAGGCTATCCGGCTAAATATTCGTGTATGCATAATATTCTGAAGGCGCATGCTAAGATTTATCACATCTACGACACAGAATTTCGTGAACAGCAGCAAGGCCAAATCAGCATAGTTTTAGATTGCATAGGGGCATTGCCCAAAAGTCTTAGTGATGCTGCAGCAGTAGACACATTCTTCCAATTTCATTGCGGATGGGTGGCTCATCCCATTTTCTCAACAAATGGTGATTACCCAGCAGTCATGAAAAGCCGCATAACTGAAAGTAGTAAATCGGATGGTTTTTCGAAATCTATTCTGCCAGAATTTTCGCCAGAATGGGTACAGTACATTAAGTAAGAAATTTGTAGAAATTATACGCAGTTGTCGTAGCAAATTAATTCGTTATACTAATTAATTGCGGAATTATATTATCTCTGGCTTTTAATTAGTCCTATCGTTTTGTAAGAGGTACATCGGACTTCTTCAGCTTAAATCATTACACTTCGAATCTTGTGGAAACAGTTCCACGAGTACCAGGACACGCGTGGTACGATTATTCTGGCGTGAAAGCAAGCGTAGATCCATCATGGCCCAATACCGCAATGGATTCGCTCAAAGTATGTTAGCATAAAAGATGCATATTGATGGCATGTATCAAACTGTCATTTTTCGTCTGCTAGAAACTTTTGTTTGTGTAAGACGTGGTAGGAATTTATTAATTAAGTCCTAATAACATATCAGGCATAATTAAGTAGTATAGATAGCTTGACTTATTAAAGAATACTTTTTAATAATTCTTAAAGTGAATTATTAATAGTTTGTACTCCACGTTATAAATTGGAAAAATGAGGATTGAGTATATTTCAGAAAATATACAGATACCGATAATACGACTGAATCGAACATAACTGGTGAAATTATGATGGATTATAGAAAATGTTGTAATTGACTATTACTAAACGTTACGAAGTAATATAGTGTTTCACTGTGAATTAAATTTGTCACCAATATCATTTTTCTTGAATATAATATCTTTATTTAAACAATCATAATTTTTTTATCTATGAGTGAAGTATTAGCACTAATAAAGTATTATTTGTATTTAGGTATATACAGATAGTTGTAAATATTTTAGGTTGTTCCCAGTGGATTTCGAGAGGTGATTAAGAAAATTTCAATTGAGTATGACTACCCACCTATCATTATTACAGAGAATGGTTTCCCTGACAGAGGTGGTATTTTGGATTATTCAAGAATATCCTATTTACATTTGTACATGAAGGAAATGTTAAGTGCCATTCAAGAAAATGGATGTAAAGTGAAAGGGTACTCTACGTGGGGTCTACTGGACAATTTTGAATGGATCTATGGTTATACGTTAGTTGTTGTTTAATATGTGATTATGAACATATTTATGAAAGCTTTTATTAACAAATTGTTTTTTTTCTTTTCTCTTTTGACAGAATACGGTTTGGTATGGTAAGCGTTAACTTTACGGATCCGAATCGAACAAGAACTCCAAAATGGTCGATGAACTGGTATAAACATGTCATTGAGACTAAGAAACTTTCTATTGATAAACCTCTAATCGCAGTAAATCATACAGATATTTAAATAAACGTTTGTCGAATAACATATTAAAAGATTGCTTGGATAAATATTCCGCTATTTTTCTAAAAGATTTTGAGTCTAAGTATTTATATATTACATTATATACATATATATTATTAATCACAGATGTTGTGAATTACTTCTGGCGACTTTTAAGAATATTCTTACTAGTTATATTTTATCTTACATAATACATATATTCCATATTATTATTAACAAGATTTATCTGTTAAAATTTGCAGAACAAAATATTGATTTTATTCTATATAACATACTATAAGTGAGAGTGCTTTCGAACCGTCATTTAACTTAATACATCTGTAAAATGTAAAAACTTATTTGTCAACCTTGTAATTGGTTTATGGAAAGTAACGATAGCAATCATGATTCGAGAAATAAGTGAAGTATAAGTTCAAAAAGGAGTAATCACATTACTCGTGTTAAACATCTGTCATACTGTATGAGATAAGATTAGAAATCTGTTATACATAAGATTAAAAATTTATTAATCTATTTCATTACTTGTATGATAAGATTGAAAATTTGTCAATTTATTTAATTGTTTAAAGTTATAATTTATAACGAATTAAATTAAGTGATTAAAGCATAAATTGAACAGCTTATGAATTATTTATCGACAATAAATTTTAACCAACAAGAATAAAACATAAAGTAATACCATTGGCATAAAACAATGTTACTATTTATTATGGAACAAAATTGAACGCAATGGTATTATTGTACTTTGCTGTGGTCTCAAATTATCAGAACTTTTGCTTCATCATTAATGTATCAGAATTTCATTTAATAAAGGAGGATACAACTTTTAGCGGGTTTCGTTACCACTCGGGAATTGTTTTATTTCTGTTTTCTTATATATTTTTCTTTATAGAAACCAAAAAATATCATTATAATTCCAGACTTAAGAAAAAATTGGTACATTGATATAAAATGAATAAAATTCTTATTTGCCTCGTTATAAAATTGCTATGTAAGTTATGCTTCAATCATTATAATTTAAAAATTAATTTATAGGTGAACAAATGCGAATAATATTGCATCGCAAAACGTTAATTAGATTGCATTGTTTACTATAATATATGTTACAAAATATTTAATAATTTTATAAGATGACACTTGAAGTTACTGTAATATTTAATTTATTGCTTTTCAATTAATCCTCTTTACAAATTATTTTGTATTTCTAGATTCGATTTATATCAAATATAATATATTAATAATTAAAATTTGTCTTACTTGAAAAATTATAATTATTATATATGACGAGATGCCCTCCTCGTTATCTTTCGACTTGGGATTGACAATGGTGAAGTTACATTTCTCCTATTTACATATTTACATATAGGTACCATATATAGATTTACATATATACGTGATGCATATTTATACTTACGCACGCGCACAAGCACATATAGAGGAAAATCCTCTATTATGAGATAGGATTCTAATGGTTAGTAATAGTAGGTTTTCAACTTCCAAATCTTTTCGCGGAACGATAACGCGATGTAACTATCAATTTTCCACTAAACAGTTTTCACTCCAAGGGCAATATATTCATGGTGGAACCAATACATGATGCTTATTAATTTACCAGAAACTCCGCTATCTTATATTACGAATCTATCGCATAAGAAAGTACTTTCCTCTATATATAGAATTTTACTCATTTTTGTTCTGAAAATCACTATCTACAATTTTTAATATTAATAACGTTTTTGAGTAAGAACACCGATTGGAGATAGTGATTTTGCGTACAAAAATGAAGAAAAAAAATATGTGTGCTTATCGCGTACGTAAGTATAAATATGTATTCATGCATATATATAAATTTATATACATGTACGTACGTAACTATTTAAATAGGGGACGTAACTTCACTATTGTCGAACTCAAGTTCAAATGATAATAAGGAGGGCATCTCGTTATAAATATATAATTATTATGTCAGTATATATTATATGCTACAAAGTAGAAAGTGTAAAGTAAGAAACAAAACTTTAAGAAAAGCATAAAACGTATGCACATGTGAATCTTATGCTTAACGTTCATTCAGAAGTTAATAACAAAATAATTTATATTATTATATTATATTATAATAAAAATAAAAAATAATAAAAGAAAGAACTGATTGGTAGAAATGCACAGAAAAAACTCGATGAACTTATGCATTGTATGAATGTGTTAATCGTAAACTGTATCATGTAGATATTTGAGTGTACAAATGAGATGTTGCGCGATGTAAAAGAGGAGGGGAGCATATTAAGAGAGTGGTTGCTATCTCTATAATATATAGAGAGGTCTGTGTGCATGACTGATAATACTCAATTGCCAAGCTCAGTCGTCTTTGCAATGGCGAGCTATTCGTTTCTCGGAGTCGCTGTCAGCCTTATTTTTGTTGTCACTCATGGCTTTGCTCACGACACATTATCTTTTCCCAAAAATTTTCTATTTGGCACGGCTTCGTCCTCTTATCAAATAGAAGGAGGTTGGAATGAAAGCGGTATGTAGAGAATCTTTATTTAATGCTCAATATGTCATTTAGTTATTGATGCATTAAGAGATCCTAGCAACTTTGGTATACAGACAAGACTTATAGAATATTATATAGTCATTTTCGTTATTTTTATAATTAATTTATATTATGGTGTACTTAATTTGAAAAAGGCAAGGGTGAGAATATTTGGGACCGATGGACACACGAACATCCAGATTTAATACTTGATGGTAGCAATGGCGATGTGGCTTGTGATTCCTACCATAAGTATAAAGAAGATGTGCAATTATTAAAGAGCATGGGGGTACGTTCTGTACAAATATCGTATAAAAAATTTTTTAACGATGCGAAATATAGAAAGTCAAACTATAATGTCTTTATAAATGTAGGTTGACTTTTACCGGTTTTCTCTCAGTTGGTCACGTATTTTACCAACTGGTTACGCTAATGTGGTCAATCAAGAGGGACTTGATTATTACAAAAATCTTACCAAGGAATTACTAGATAATGGCATCGAACCATTTGTTACTTTGTATCATTGGGATCACCCAGTTGTGTTTGAAAGCATGGGCGGATGGACTAACGATATGATGGTAGATTGGATATCGGATTATGCCAGAGTCGTTTTCAAAGAACTCGGTCCTAGTGTTAAATATTTTATGACTATCAATGAACCCGCCGTCATTTGCAATGATGCATACTCATCAGGAACAAAAGCACCAGGTATCTTCTTCATATCTGTTCGTTATTGAATGAAGAACATTTTTCTCTAGTGCAATTAGGTAGCTTTTATAATGGAATATGTTTTGTAGGAAAGAAATTAGGCTATCCTGGTAAATATCTGTGTATGCATAATATTATAAAGGCGAATGCCAAGATTTATCACATCTACGACACAGAATTTCGAGAACAGCAGAAAGGCCAAATCGGCATAGTTATATCTTGCACAAACGGATTGCCCAAAAATCCTTTTGATACTGAAGCAGTAGACATATACTACCAGTTTGCTTGCGGATGGGTAGCCCATCCCATTTTTTCAAAGACTGGTGATTACCCAGCGGTCATGAAAAGCCGCATAGCTGAAAATAGTAAATTGGATGGTTTTCCGAGATCTATTCTGCCAGAATTTTCGCCAGAATGGGTGGAATATATTAAGTAAGAAATGTGTAGCAATTATACGCAATAGTCACAAATTAATCGGCACTAATTAATTGCAGACTTATATTATCTCTGGCTTCTTATTATCTTTTTCGTTTTTTTTAAGAGGTACATCGGACTTCTTCGGCTTAAATCATTACACTTCGAACCTTGTGGAAACAGTGCCACGAGAACCAGGACAAGGGTGGTACGATTATTCTGGTGTGAAAACAAGCATAGATCCATCATGGCCAAAGAGCGCATCGGATTGGCTCAGAGTTAGTTAGCATAAAAGATGCATATTAATTGCTTGTATCAAACTGTCAATTTTCACCTGCTCGAAACTTCTCTGTGTGTAAGACTTGCTAGGAATTTATTAATTAAATCCTAGTAACATATCAGGCACTATTAAGTCGTGCAGATTATTCTGAATAATTCATAATGTGAATTATTCATAGTTTGTATTCAACGTTATAAATTGGAAATCAGACTCGAGTATATTTTAGAAAATATGAATATTCCGATTATTCGGCTGAATCAAACATGACTGGTGAAATTTTTTATGATGGATTATAGAGAACCTAGTAATTGGCTATTGCTAAATGTTACGAAGTAACGAATATTGTTTTCCACGGTGAATTAAATATACTGCGCATACCGTCTTTCTTGAATACAGTAAATTTGCGTAAATTATTCTTAATCTTTTTCATTTATGAGTAAGGTATTGATATTATTTGTATCACGTATTATTTGTATGTCTATCTAAAAAGTTGTAAATATTTTAGGTTGTTCCTATTGGATTTCGAGATATTATTAAGAAGATTTCAATTGAGTATGATTACCCAACTATCTTCATTACAGAGAATGGTTTCTCTGATAGATGTTGTATATTTGATAATTTAAGAATATCCTACTTACATTCTTATATGAAGGAAATGTTAACTGCCATTCAAGAAGATGGATGTAAAGTAGAAGGGTATGCTGTGTGGAGTCTGTTAGACAATTTTGAATGGTCCAGGGGTTATACGTGAGTCATTATTTTGTACATATTTATGAACGCCTTAAAAAATATACAGGGTGAGTCTTTCCATATCCGACAAAATTTTTGAGAAGGTAGAACGGATCGAGATGAACGGAAAAGTCCTGTACCATTTTGCAATTTTCGTAATAGTTAACGAGTAATTAATTATTAAAAATCGTTGTCTTAGGCCGGCCTACCGCCCAATTCGAGCGCGTGGTAAGATGTGACCGCCTGGCGAT